TGATTCTCTTACCCGTTTTACAGATAAGAAAATGGAGGACCCAGATGACAGGTGACTTGTTAGTCTGCTTTCCTCAGGACCATTAGGCTATACACTATACTGCTCTCACTTCTCATCCAATCACAACCTAAGTTATGTTTTGGTACTAACTCTACAAGAAGATGCACAGAAGAGAAAATAATCAAAATGGCCTCAATACAACGAACAAGTGCTCAGTCTCACAAGCAGACAGGAATGTGAATTAAAGCAACAGTGGGATCAATAATTTTGCTATTCATAAAAATCATAAAAAGATTCCAAAATTTAGTAGTGGGCAAGAGTGGAGAAAATAAGAGTTCTGAGATATTACTTTTGGAAGTGTGAATTTTTGTATACTTTTTTGAAATTAATTTAGTAATATTTTTTCATCTTTTTTATTTTTTAAAGATTTATTTATTTTTAGAGAGAGGGGAAGGGAGGAAGATAGAGAGGGAGAGAAACATTAATGTGTGGTTGCCTCTAGCATACCTCCACTGGGGACCTGGCCCACAATCCAGGTATGTGCCCTGATTGGGAACTGAACCAGCTACCCTTTAGTTCATAGGCCAGTACTCAATCTACTGAGCTACACCAGTCTCATCTTTTTTTAAAAATCCTCATCTGAGGACATGCTTATTGGTTTTAGAGAGAGAGGAAGGGAGAGGGGAGAGGGGGAGGGGAGGGGAGGAGGGGAGGGGGAAGGGTGAGGAAAGGGGGAGAGAGAGAGAGAAACATCAATCAAGTGCCTCCTGTGCATGCTCCAATCTGGGACTGCTGCAACCTTTTGGTGTATGGACAATGCTCCCACCAACTGATCCACCTGACCAGGGCTATCTTTTAATTTTAAGGATACAAAGACCAATAGTGTAGCCACTTTGCAAAATACTTCAGCATTCGATCATATGTTTAAACACAGGGTTACCATATGACCTAGCAATTCCATTCCTGGATACAGACCCCAAATTTAAAGTGTTCAAGCAAAAACTTGTCCACAAATATTCATAGCAGCATTGTTTAGCCAAAAAGTAGAAACAAACTGATATATATCAACTGATGAATGAATAAAAAAACCCTGGCATATCCACATATGTAATATTAAGCCATAAAAAGAAATGAAGTACTGATATATGCTACATCATGGATGACTCTGAAACCATTATGCTAACTAAAAGAAGCCAATCATGAAAGGCCATGTAAATATCCAAAAAGGAAAATCTATAGAGACAAAAAGGAGATCAGTGCTTTCTTAAGACCAGGATTTAGGGAAGGCATGGGAAAGGGGAGAAGTAATGGGAAGTAACAGACGTGGGCATGGCATTTATTTTTGGAATGATGACAATGTTGCAAAATTGGATTGTAGTGATGGTTACACAACCCTGTGACTCTACGAAAACAGTGAGTGAATTGTGATGTCAATTATATGTCAATAAAGATGCTTAAAAAACCCCAGCTGGTGTACCTCAGTGGATTGAGCGTGGGCCCGCAGACCAAAGGGTAACCGGTTGGATTCCCAGTCAGGGCACATGCCTGGGTTGCAGGTCAGGTCCCCAGTAGTGGGCGTGCGGGAGGCATCCATACATTGATGTTTTTCTCCCTCTCTTTCTCCCTCCCTTGCCCTCTCTCTAAAAATAAAATAAATAAAATCTTTTAAAAAATTTAAAAAAGGGTACTTCCGGCCAAGATGGAGGCATAGGTGGACACACACTGTGCCTCCTTGCACAACCAAATTTAAGGGCAACAAAAATTTAGAAACAACAAAACAACCAGAACAGAGAGAAAACTGTATGGAAGTCTGACAACCATTCATCCAGACTGGTAAGAGGGGCAGAGTCGGGTCTCAGCAGGGAAAAGCGGTGGCCGGCAGACCCGGGTGCACAGGGTGCAGGTGGCAGTTGGCAGACCCCGGGCATGGGGAGGCAATGAGCAGACCCAGTGAGCTGCGGCTGAAGGCAGCCAGCTGTCTGCAGTCACACAGTCACACCCAGATAAACCAGGTGAAAACGGATAGCAAGACAGACCATGCAACCCAGGGCTCCAGCAAAGGGAAATAAAGCCTAAAAGCATTCATTGAAAACACTTGTGGGGTTTGAGGTGCTGGGAGAGACTCCCAGCCTCACAGGAGAGTTCGCTGGAGAGACCCACAGGGTCCTGGAATGTACACAAGTCCACCCACACGGGAACCAGCACCAGAAGGGCCCAATTTGCTTGTGGGAAGTGGCAGAGGGGACTGAAATCTGAGAGAAAGCAGAGTAAGTGCCATTATTCCCTCTCTAACCTCGTCCCCACATACAGCATCACAACCCAGCAACTGGCTTGCCCCACCCTGGTGAACACCTAAGTCTCCGCCCCTCATACATAACAGGTGCAACCAGACCCCCCTCCCTAAAATGGCTCAAATGGAAGAACCAATCAAAGCTTCAGAACCAATAGTTTTAAGCGACCAAGAGATAGCCAACCTATCAGATGCACAGTTCAAAACACTGGTGATCAGGATGCTCACAGAATTGGTTGAATTTGGTCACAAATTAGATGAAAAAATGAAGGCTTCACTAAGTGAAATGAAGAAAAATGCAGAGGGAACCAACAGTGATGGAAAGAAAACTGGGTCTCAAATCAATGGAGTGGACCAGAATGAAAAAATAAAACCATACAATCAGAAAAGAATGAAGAAAGAAGAATTCAAAAAAATGAGGAGAGGCTTAGGAACCTCCAGGACATCTTTAAACATTTCAACATCTGAATTATAGGATGTTGAAGAGGAAAAGCAAAAAGTGGAAAACTTATTTGAACAAACAATAAAGGAGAACTTCCCCAATCTGGCCAAGGAAATAGACTTCCAGGAAGTCCAGGAAGCTCAGAGAGTCCCAAAGAAGTTGGACCCAAGGAGGAGCACACCAAGGCACATCATAATTACATTAGCCAAGATAAAAATGAAGGAGAGAATCCTAGAAGCAGCAAGAGATAAGGGGACAGTCACCTACAAAGGAGTTCCTATCAGACTGTCAGCTGATTTCTCAAGAAACCTTACAGGCAAGAAGGAGCTGGAAAGAAGTATTCCAAGTCATGAAAGGCAAGGACCTACATCTCAGATTGCTCTATCCAGCAAAGCTATCATTTAGAATGGAAGGGCAGATAAAGTGCTTCCCAGATAAGGTCAAGTTAAAGGAGTTCATCATCACCAAGCCCTTATTTTATGAAATGTTAAAGGGACTTATCTAAGAAAAAGAAGATAAAAATTATGAACAGTAAAATTACAGCAAACTCACAGGCATTAATAACCACACCCAAAACAAAAGCAAACTAAGCAAACACCTAGAACAGGAACAGACCCACAGAAAAAGAGAACACATGGAGGGTTAGCAACAGGGGAGTGGGGGGAGGAGCGGGGGGGGGGAGGTACAGAGAATAATTAGCATAGATGGTAGGTAGAAAATAGATGGGGGAGGGCAAGAATAGTATGGGAAATGTAGAAGCTAAAAAAGTTATGACACATGGACATAAACTAAAGGGAGAGAATGTGGGTGGGAGGGGGTGTGCAGGGTGGAGGGGAATGAAGGGGGAAATGGTATAATGGTATAATGGAGCTGTAATAGCATAATCAATAAAATATATTAAAAAGTTTTTTAAAAGATGCTTAAAAATATATGAACCCCAAGACCCTGAAATCCTCCTGCATATAGATATCAGTAGGGACTGATGTAAAGCAAAACATTTATTTCAGTCTCGTTTGTAACTACTTGCAAAAGAGAAGAGAAAAACACATTGGATTGTCCATCAGTGAAGGGATAATTTATTCATGCCAGGGAATATTATGTGACTATTAATATCTTCAGTTAGATCTCTATTTACTGCCTGATGGTCATCCCTGGTAGAGAGTTAAGTGAGGAAAGCAACAAATAGAATAACGTGTAGCAAACTATCTCATTTTGCAGTCATACATGCTCCCACTGAAGAGGTTGCAGCATGGTGGGTGTGTGGCAAGAGATCATCACTTTTCTTTTCATTCATCTTTCACTAGTTACAATGGACAAGTGTTATTTTTATCACTAAAAATTTTTATGAAGTGAAAAAAAAAGTATTAATGCTATTTTTAGCTCCAGACTCATATATCCAACCAGCTACTGACACATCTCCTTCTCAACTCTCCAAGACACAACTAAGATTATCCCCTCAAAGCTGGCCTCTTCCACCATGTTCTACTTCATTCGACTACTATCTCCTGGTCATCTAAGCCAGAATCTTCGAGGTTATCACAAATGTTCTTGCCCTCTGCATATGCCTTGCACCCTCTGTACTAAATTCATTATCCAACATGTCAAGTTCCCTCTTAACTAACTCTACTCCTGGATTTACTTCACTCTGTGGACTGGTACTCAGCTTTCTATTGGCTACTATCCAAGGCTCCAGCCCCTCCACTCTGCTCTGCAGAGATGGACATTGGATCCTGCTGTCTCTCTGCCAGAATGACAGAACACCTCACTCGCCTGGGAGACCTGGCCCCTTCAGCTTCATCTCAGGTCACTGCCTCTACCCAGATGTCTGTTTTGCCTCCTTACAGACAAGTGCTTACCCACTCTATCCTGTCAGCAACCTTTATATGTGCTGTTTTTTTCCTAGGTATAAGTCTTAGGTATCTTCCTGAACCCGCCCCTTTACCTAATTAGTTCCCCCCTACTGTTGAGATCTCGGCCCAAGGCTCCTGTTGTTAGACAGATTTCAGTGACCTCCCTGACAAGGTGAGATGCTGCTGAGCAGCACCTGGGACACCTGGAAGGCTGTCCTTCCATATCTGGCTGTGTGCATATCTGACTTACATCTTTCTATACAGACTATAAATCTGAGAGGCAAGAACCTCTTCTGATTTTGTTCCTTATGTATCCAATGTCTAGAACATGTCAGGCACTCAACAAATACTCATTGACAAGTGTGATTTTTCAGAAAGTATAAAATAAATACCATTTCCAGTAAGATTGACTACCCACCTTGAATGCTGCAAATGGAGTTGACCTGAGTGACAGAATCCAGTTCATCAAGCTTGACAGGGCCAGCCAGCTCACAGGAGCAAGCCACAGAAGCCACACCCAAAATGGGCTTTGGAAGCAAGAGGGCAGTGCGTTCAACACAAACAATCCGACCTGTCAACAGTCACATTTCAGATTACTGAACCACTGAAGAGAAAAGGGAGTTCCCTGCCAGAAAAGACAGTGTCCTTTGCTAGCCTCCCAGGAGCCATGTGGGCCAAGGGGCACAACTGGTAGCTCCATTCATTGTGGCCTGTGACACTTGCACTTTGCAGAAAGGAAGCCCCCAAGCTGCCAGTGTGCTAGGCTGAAAAAACACACAAGTACTAGATTCAAATTCAATTCAGAAAGGTGAATTTTATGGTATGCAAATTATACCTCAATAAAATTAAAAAATACATATACAGTTGAGGCAGGATCCTAGTTTGCATCTTTGAAAAAAAGGCTGACTGATTTAAGTGTACATGTTTATAATTTGTAGCTTTTTGTTTTAAAAAGTAATGTTTTAGGCAATGGCTTTAAGTGGCTTCTGCATCTGTCAAGTGTGCCACCCATAGACAAACCTTGAGTGGCCAATGATACCTCAAAGGGTTTGTCAGCACTGCAAGGGATTCTGGTTCTGTCCAGGAGGTCATGAGAAGGGTCAGTTCCATGGGCCTATTCCACTCCATATGCCTTGTCTGTAGTGGACCTAGTGAAGGGGCCAGCAGTTCCAGAGCAAGACAGAGGCATCTAGAAGCCAGAAAGCCATTTTATGGAATCTCTAAGTCACCACTGGATCAAAGCTGTCAAGAAGAAAGCATACCCTGGTCTCGGAGAGCATCTCTGAAGAAGAAGCAGTGAGGGGCAGCTTCGGTGAGCATCTCCAGGACTTCCTGGCCCAGCACACATGAAGAGGTCACACAGATCGGCAGGGTTTTGGGGAAGCCAGAGTTATTTTCATCCTGTGCTTGCAGGGTGGCATCAGTCACCATCAACCAAATCTCCCTTTGCTCCAGAAGAAGCAAACTGTTTAGCTACGAGACACAGATAAGACTATTAACTTAACAGCTATTCTTATATCCAAAATAAAATTTTGAAAGCAATTATGTTAGATGACTAATATTTACATTAACATCATTTCAACAAATATTTAAATGCATACAACAGACTTCATGTCTTGGTCACTAGCCCTCACTGACATGGCTGTGCCCTGTGAGCCCCCAACCTTAAACCTGTTTAAAGGGATCCTTTGCTGTGATACAACTGCCCTTCCCTGGCACTAATATTCTACTTGTCCTCTGACTTAGGAAGAATTCATTGTTCTTTGCCTCCTGACCCCACATTCATATGCCTATAACGCTAATGACCACATTGTTAATATTTAGTACATATACATTCTTCTCTCCTGCTAAATGTCAGTTTCCTAAGGTTAGAAAATGTTATAACTGAATGTTTACAAACCTCACCCCTCAATTAATATGCTGAAGTCCTAATTTCCAATGTAATGGTAATGGCAGGTAGGGCCTTTGCGGGGTAATTAGTCATAAGAGTAGAGCCCTCATAATGGGATTCGTGACGTTAAAAGAAAAGACCTGAGAGAGCTTGCTTATTCTCTTGGCTCTGTGCATTGAGAAGATACAAGGAGACGTCCTTTTGTGAACCAAGAGGATGGTGCTCCCTAAGAACCTGACCATGCTGACACTTTGATCTTGGGCTTCCATACTCCAGACTATAAGAAGTAAATGTTTGCTGCTTAAGCCACCCAGTCTGTGGTATTTTGTTACAGGAGTCCAAACTGACAATGACAGAATTACATCTTATGTGCCCTCAGATTTTGGTATAAAGCTGGTATCATATATTTGTTATATTTGCAAAAGTATTTAATTTTCTTTTTTCTTTCTTTTTTCCTTTCATTATAATTTTTTTACTGTAAATGTTATAATGCCTTCTCAAATTCATTAAAATGGCATCTTGCCCATTAGAGTTGATCAGAGTTTAGGATTCGGTAGATGTAAATGGGGCCAAGGATTTGGCTGGGGAGACCCTTGTGGTCAGCAGGGTGGGCCATGAGAACCTGGTTGGCGTGAGGTTGATTTGGTTTTGCTGGCATGGTTGGTGTGATTAGGATGAGGACTCCACATGGCTAATTGAGAGGACTAGGCAGAGAAGGTGACTTGCATAGTCAGGAGCTGTGGGTTGGGTGGAGAAGGCAGCTCACGTGGTTGGGACGTTGATTATATACAGGAAATTAGATTAAGCTAAATTGAACAAAATGAGGGCCAGGTTTCTCATTGGTAAATAAATATGGAATTAGAAAACCCTAGAGTCAATTCTGAGATAAGAGTCTAGAGTTGGAGATATTGATATAAAATCATGATAGAGATAGATGGGTAGATATACAGAACTAGATATGGTTATATGTATGTGTGCATGAGTTTACCCATATATACCTCCTTGCTCTGTCCAGTGAGAGGGCCAATGACATCCCAGTAGTACTGAGCCCACATAGTACCCAGATCTTACCTTCTGTCATTCAAAAAAAAAAAAAAACACCCACCAATCTTTAAAACCAACTAGGGCTCCTGAAGAAATGGCTGATTTCAGGGCACAAAACCCACAAGATTAGTTTGAAACATCTTATTGTGTCAGAAAAAAAGGAAGTACTCAAAGGAGGATTTTATCCAAAGGACACAGGAGCTAGCTTGAATCTGGGAAAGTTTGGGTATTAAAATAAACTATAGTAAAAGTTACAATCCACTGAATAAAAACTGAAAATTGAATCCACTGGTCTACACTGATATAAATAACTGAATACATAAATAAATTAGGGAAATGAAAAGATTCTAATTATAACCAAATGCCAATTCTTTAATGTAGGAAGAATGCTGGAATTAGAAAATTACCATTTGGCCACTATCAGAGTAATAATTCAGGCAAGAATCATATGGGTGCTAAAACAAGTGGGTAAAAGTTTGATAGTACATAAGATATTTATATAGACTCAATGTATCTTCCTGCAAAATATTTGTTAGTTATTATTATGACATATTTATTAGGTAACTTTAGAGTGGAGAAACCTGGAAAATAACATCTTTATCAATTGATAAAATATCATAGCACTGGACAGATCAACTGCATGCCCTCTGATATGAACATGGTATTTTCATGTGGTATTCCTGTCAAAAATGCATAATATGAATGCATTCATGAGATAAAGCAAAAATAAATGGAGGGACATTCAATTAGGTAACTGGCCTCTATTCTTGTAAAATATCAAGGTCCTAAAAGATAAGCAAAGATGATGAAATGTTCCATTTGAAGGAGACGAATGAGTCACGACAACTAAGTGCAATACATGATCTATACTACACCTTGGAGTTATAAAGATTTTTTTAGGAACAACTGACAAAATCACATTAAAAATGGTAAATATGTCAAGAAGGGTAAAGATTTATTTCTACAAGATTATTTGAAGTTGAGTTTTTCTGATAGTCTTCAAAGATTTTAGATACTCTTTGTAAATAGGCTGGATTTAGCGTATTGTCTCTTTTTAAACATCTTAATGGAACCAAAATGGTCTAACTTTCTTTGAAATTAACTATCAAATCATCTTTATCATTGGGTTATGAACAAAGTTAGTAATAATAATATCCTCTGTAAAAATGTTGCCACAGAGCTGTAATAGAATAACAACAAAAAATTATTTAAAAAATGTTGCCACAACAATTAGAGCCTCGAGGAGTCTCTCCCATCAGCCAAGATGGCGCAGGGGGAGGTTTGTACACCAAGTATGCCAAATGCTACAGGGCTTGAGTGTTCGAAAAGCTAGCAAGGAAAAAAAAAAAGCTCTCTCCAACATATACCTATAAGAACTGTTGGCTTGAGCATTGCAGAGGGATGGTCTTTGAGATGGGAGTCCACCATTCTCCCAGGTCATGTGACACCTGATAAACCCTTGTTCCTTTTGCACCAGCACCTGCCTCACAAATTTGGCTTTTGTGGCAGATAGCCAAACCTGCGTTTTCAGTTATAAAAAACACAAAAATCAAATTAATTCGTACCAGTACTATCAATCTTACTGCTAAAGTTTTATTAAAAACAATCTCTTCTACACAAAAATACTCTATTAATTTTTGACAAAGTTGAAAAAGCAAATTAATGAAGGAAGAATAGCTTATCAACAAACAGTGGAACAAGTACACATCCACTGGCAAAAAAATGAACCTTGATCTAAATGACACACTTCATACAAAAACTAACACAAAATGTATCACAGACTTAATGTAAAATTATAAATCTTCTAGAAAAGATGAACCTTGGGACCTAGCACTAAGCAAAGAGGCTTGACTTATCTTAGACTTGACAACAAAAGTAAGATCCCTAAGAGGAAAAGTTAATAAATTTGACCACATAAAAATTAGAAACTTTTGCCCAACAAAAACCCCTGCTGAAAGTATTAAAGAACAAATTATAGATCCTGAGATATATTTACAAATCATTTATCTGACAAAAGCTTTATATAGAATATATAAAGAACTTCAAAAGCTCAACAATAAACAAATGATCCAATCAGAAAATGGGCAAAAGACATTTATGAACATTTCGCCAAAAAGGATATACAGATACAAATAAACACCTGAAAAGATGCCCAAGATTATTTGTTCTCTGGATGAATCTGTAGAGAATGTTAATTGAGAAGAGCCTATCTCAGAAGGAGCTGTTACAGACTGAATTGTGACACTCCAAAAAATTCTCTTGCAGGTCTAATTCCAGTACCTCAGAATGTGACCTGATTTGGAAGAAGGGTATTTGCTAATTTAACCACGTTAAGGCATCATTACAGGGTGCTAATCCAATGTAACTCATGTCCTTACACAGAGGGAAGAAATTTGGACACAGAGGGAAGACCCAGTGATGGCACAGAGAGTGAAGATGGCCATGGGACTGGAGTGATGCATCTAAAGTCAAGGAAGGTCGAGGATTGCCAGCAAACAACAGAAGCTGCAAGAGGAAAGAAAGGAATGTCCCCTAGAACTGTCATAGGAAACAGTCCTACTGACACCTTGACTTCAGACCTTAAGCCTCCAGAAGCACGAGACAATACTTTTCTGTTGTTTTAAGTGATCTAGTTCTTGGCACTTTGCACAGCAGGCTTAGGAAATGAATACCAATATACAGGAGTGTGTGCAAGTAGTTTACAGTTGTTAGTGTGCAGAACACAGAGTTTATTCCTGTATTATTTATTATATTATTTGTATTACAACTGCTACAAACCTACTTTTACCCACCCCTCTATACTGCATGTTTCTGTTTCTGTAACCATCATAAAATAACAACCATAATGATAAGAACAGATCAGTGGTTGCCAGGGGTGAGGGGATGACGACGGGTATGGGTGTGACTACAATGGGAACATTACGGAGTCTGTGGTACAGCTGGACATACTGATTGTGGTGAAGATTATGCAAGGCCATACATGCGACAAAACTGATAAAAGTTACACCTACAGGTGTACATACATGCACATATGTATGAATAGTGAGATCTGAACAAGCTCCATGAATTCTGCCAATATCCGTCTTGGCTTTGATATTGTACTATGGTTACTGCGGGTATGGTATGTTGGTGTAGGGGAGGGTGCACAGGAACTCCCTATATATTTCTTTGCAATCTATTGTGAATCTAAAATTTTTGAATAATCAAAAGTACAAAAAAATACTTTTTATGACTTAGTCATTAGTATAGTATTAATACAACCAAATCTTTTTTGATAACTCAGGTTCTTTCAGTGGCTCATGGTGCTATTCTAAAAGTCAGCTCACACTACAGAATGTGTTGGCTTAACCACATAGCGGGTCCAGGACTTAGCTTACTTCAATTCCTCTCTGAGGAAGTTGATTCTTGGTGATTCCCTTTCCCACAAAAGCAGAATACAGGAGGTATTATTCACTAAAATTCTTTATAGTGAATTTCGGAATCTGTTCAATTGGGTTCTGAATCCTTGACTGTTTCCTAAGTACTACCAACCCCGAGGTACGCAGTCCACTGAAAGGCATGGTTGCAGGCAGGCTGTGCTTGAACTGATAGGAACCTATTTCTCTTCGGGAAACTCAGAACAGGAGGGGACCAGATGGTCTACAGTTTGTCTTTCTCTGCTCTAGGGCTCCCAATGGGGTGGGTGGTTGAGATCTGGCCATGGTGTGAGTACTTGACACGCACTTTCTTTGCCTTCCACCTCTGGTCTCATTTGCAAGGCTGTGGGTGGATTAAGCTCTGTGGGCAAGAACACGTGGCATAACCACCATGAGATTGCTGTTCCTGTCCCTGAGGTCAGCATTCTACCTGCAGCATAAACAGCAACTGTACAGTGAACCACTGCCTGATGTCCCAGCTCCACAATTTGGAATGCACTTTAGAATAATAGGAATAATAGGTGTGTACAGTCAGCCTTCAATCTGCCTCAGACTCAGAACATAGGAAATTTATCAGGGGACCAGACCTTGATCTCAATGGGGCCAGTCCTCAATGCTATTGAGCTAGATGCAAGGATGGCTCACAAGCAGCACTGTTGAATGACTAATGTCAGTTACTCTCTTATTCCTTGGAAGAGGCACCAATTAGCTATCAAATGACTAAAAGGTGAACAAGAAAGGAAAACAAGGACTGAACAATGGGATGTTCTATATATCTCTCAGGTGACTGAGACATGGATGTTCCTCTATTAGTTAAGGTCCAACAGAGGTTTCCTGTGGAACTTATATCATGTGTTGATCTTGGCAAAAACATCTCTTCCCTTGTCTATTCTTAGCTGATCTGTTGAACAGCAAGGAAGCAAACCAGAAGCTCCACTAGGCCACCAAATGGCCAGAACTGCCCAGGCCCTCCCGGGCACCACAGGATTTCCTCCAAGAGTTTAAGGCTTTCAGAACTTCTGAGTGTTAGTTCTGAGAAGTGGCTGAGTTCAATCCTGACATTCCTACTTCACCACATTACTGGGGTATCAGCTTCTCTTTCTTTTTTACTATCTCCCTAAGTGTCCAAAAGGAAATAGGATTACTAGAATGAGAATCTTCCAGGGTAGGGTTACCCCCAGGTCAATTTACACCTCAGTACTTAACATAGTGGCTAGCAAACCACACCTGCTCAAGAAATGGATTTATTACTTCTTCAGCACAAAGTATGCATAACTGGATGTTTAAAATGCTTTTCTATTTTGGTACTCCATTAGTTTCTAAGAGGGATGAACAATCCTTTAATAAACTTTATAACACCTTATGCATTAAACATGTTATGGGGGGAAGGGAGGGAGAAGAAAGGGAATTGGAAGAAGAAGAAGGGGTAAAAGTAGAGGAAGAGGAAGAAGGAAAAGAGAGATGAGGAGATTACCAGTGGTCTTTGATAAATCACTCTGGCATAGAAACTGCAACGGGTACCAAGATCATCAGCCTGGAAAGGCATTGAAAAAGATTAGTATCATCACACAAAACACACAGATACAAAAATAAGTAATTTAAGACCTTGTTAGAAAAAAAGGCATTACCTGGAGAATTTCTCTTAATAAGCGAGGAATTGGAGGCTGGTACAGTTTAGAAATGGGATCTTCAATTATATCAATTTGTCCAAGATTTGGATGAGCAGTGAGGATATAACAGAAGCTAGGAAGAGGAAGATGAGTTTTTACCTGTTTGAAATGAAGGCAGATGTAGAATATGAATATATTGTTAAAAGACTCAAATATAAAATTGAGTCCTTAATATATACATATTTATTCATAGGTGCATAATATCTCTGTAAGGCTCATAAATTTCTATATAAGAAACAGATTATGTTGTTTTTCTTGGGAACCAAGTATAAAACCTTGTACTTTTGAATTTATTCTCAATTCAAGATTTCACTTTAGAAATTTATTGTTCATTTAGAAAGTTCTTCCTCTCAAATAATCTAGGAATGGGCTTCTTTTTTTAAAAAAATAAATTTATTGTGGTGATCCTGGGTTATAAAATTATATTGGTTTCAGATGTACAGTTCTATCATCTATATATTATATTGTGTGTTCACCACCCCAAGTCAAGTCTCCTTCCATCACCATTTACAACCCCTTTACCCTCTTCTTCTTCCCCCCAACCCCCTTTCCCTCTGGTAATAGCCATACTATTGTCTTGTTCTTTTTTCCCCTTAATCCCTCTACCCCAGCCACCCCTGCCCAACGCCACCCCTGATAGCTGTCAGCCTATTCTCTCTGAGTCTGTCTCTATTTTGCTTGTTAGTCCATTTTGTTCATTAGATTACACATATAAATGAAATCATATGGTATTTGTCTTTCTCTGACTGGCTTATTTCACTTAGCATTATGCTCTCCAGGTCCAACCATGCTGTCACAAAGGGTAAGATTTCCTTTTAAGTATTTTTTATTGATTATGCTATTACAGTTTTCCCAATTTCCCCCCTTTATCCCCCCTGTGCCCTGCACCCCAACCCTCCAGCATGTCCATGAATTATACATATAAGTTCTTTGAGTTCTGTTTCCCATACTATTTTTATTGCTCCTTGTGTATTTTATGCCTACTAATTATGCTTCTTCTTCTCTGTACCTTTCCCCCGCTATTCCTCCCTTCCCCTTCCCCACTGAAAACCCTCCATGTGATGTCCATTTCTCTGATTTTGTTCCTCTTCTAGTTGTTTGCTTAGTTTTTGTTTTCATTTTCTTTTTTTAGGTTCATTTGTTGATAGTTGTGAGTTTGTTGTCATTTTATTGTTCATATTTCTGATCTTCTTTTTCTTAGATAAGCCCTGCTAACATTTCATATAATAAGGGCTTGGTGATGATGAACTCCTTTAACTACACCTTATCTGGGAATCACTTTATCTGCCCTCCATTCTAAATGATAGCTTTGCTGAATAGATTAATCTTGGATGTAGGTAGGTCCTTGCCTTTCATGACTTGGAATACTTCTTTCCAGCTCCTTCTTGCCTGTAGGTTTGTTTTGAGATATCAGCTGACAGCCTTATGGGCACTCCTTTGTAGGTAACTCTCTCCCTTCCTCTTGCTGCTTTTAGGATTCTCTATCTTTAAACTTGGGTAACTTAATGATGATGTGCCTTGGTGTGTTCCTCTTTGGGTCCAACTTCTTTGGGACTCACGGCTTCCTGGAAGTCCACTGCCTCTGCCAGATTGGGAAGTTTTCCTTCTTTATTTGTTCAAATAAGTTTTCAATTTCTTGCTGTTCACCTTCTGGCATCCCTATGTAATTCAGATATTGGAATGTTTCAGGTTGTCCCACAGGTTCCTAAGTCTCTCTTCACTTTTTTGAATTCTTGTTTCTTTATTCTGTTCTGATTGGATGTTTATTTTTCCCTTTTGTTCCAAATCATTGCTTTGGGTCCTGGTTTCCTTCCTGTCACTGTTGGTTTCCTGAATATTTTGCTTTATTTCATTTTGGGTATCTATCTATCATTTGCTTTTTCATTTTTCAACCAAGCTCAATCAGTTCTGTGACCATTTTGATTACCAGGGCTTTAAATTCTCCATCAGATAGGTTGGCTATCTCCTCATTGCTTAGCTTTCTTTCTGAAGTTTTGCTCTGTTCTCTCATTTGGGCCATATTTCTTTGTCTTGGTGCACCTGTTAAGTTGTAAGGGGGTGGGGCCTTAGGTATTCACCAGGGCAGGGCAACCTTTTTTGCTGTGCTGCAGTGCTGCCTGTGGGGGAGGGGCCAGAGAGGGAACCATGCTGCTCACCTGCTTGTTTCTAGCCCACTTTCCAATGGACTCTTGTGTGAGACTGGGAGTTTCTCTCACCAGGGCAACTGTTGTGGTCCAAGGTCAACTCTGAGTCCCAGTTTCGCCTTCTGCCAGCCCTGCCCACATGGTCCGCTGCCTTGCCAAGGTTTTTTGTCAGCCGGCCCTGCCTGTGCGGTCTGCTGCCTTGCCACAGGTTCTTAGTGGTCTGGTTGTTCTGGCTTTTTCTTTAATTCCTTAGTTGTTGGAGTTCTTTGCAGTTGATTTTCTGGCACTTCTGGCTGTTTACTGATTTTAGATTGGTTGTTACCCTTCTTTTGGTTGTACGAGGAAGCAAAGTGTTTCTTCTTATGCCTCCATCTTGGCCTGAGCTCCCAGATTTCCTTCTTTTATATGGGCAAATAGTATTCCATTGTGTAAATGTGCCACAGCTTTTTTTTTTTTTAATCGGAAATGGGCATTTTGGACAACAATTTTGCTGATCTATTACTGTACAGAGTCATAGCCTTAGCACTTTGCTAAGGAGTCAGCTGCTACACAAATAAGATGACCCCCAACTTCCTGCTTTGGGAACTATGGCTCAAAGCAGTACTGGCCAGCCTGGTGGATAAGGCTCAAGGTGGAGAAGAGTGGACATGTTTTAATCAGTCAATTTTGCTACTTGTAAGCAACTACCATAAACAATTTGATGAGGCAGGAAAATGGAAGTTCCTGGCTAACCTGGTGGCTGTATGAATATCCATGGATTCTATTTATTAGGTTATGTGAGTTTCTGCTCTAATTGGTCATTAGAAACTGTTGGGGGATGGTGCCTTGTGTCTTGTATAGTATGAGGCTAAGACCCTAATTGTTGACCTAATGATTATATTTTAAAAACACTACCATAAATAACCTCAAGAATACTGTAGCCCAACAAGAAAAACAACCAGAGCTTGGATTTAGGAATGTGAGTGGGTCTGAATTTGGGTTCTGGCTCATGCTCCCTGGACCTGGGCTTCTTGGGGAGTGGACTGTGGAGGCAGCACATGGTGCAGCACCTGGCACATCTGGTGGTGACCCAGGGAGAGTTCCTTGAATGATGAGATTACCTCTTCACAGACCTGGCTGTGGCCAGGTGCTTTCAGAGGCATCAATGGAGGCCACAGAGTGTCAATCAAACTGAAAAGTCCCGCTGTCCTGGAAAAAGAGAAGATGCTATCAAAAGTATTCATCACTAAAAGTCAATTATTAAATACCTGGTCAATGAGCTGGTCATAGGTAGATGTGCTTAACAGACACCAGCCCTAATGCCAGGGAGCCATCAATCAGAATAAGTGGCAATTCAGATGGAAAAGAGTGTCTCACACACACACACACACACACACACACACACACACACAACAGACCTTCAGACCTGACTCAAAAGAACAGGAAGGGGATTGTGCATTAAATTATAATACATCTGTACAATGAAATATACAGCTATCGCAATGGTTACATAGAAAATATTTAAGAATGAAACAGTATTTATGTGCATTCAAAATCACCCTAGAAGTCCTAGAAAAGCCAAGAAATCCCTTTTCTAGGAAAATATTAACTCTTGGAAATCCAGATATGAGAGTAACAACAGCTACTAATGATTACTTAGAACTTTATTATGGGCCAAGGACTTTTAAGCATTTTACACATATAGTATAACGTTTAAGTTTCATGATAACCCTATTTGTGCAGATAAAAATCATAGCAAGTTAACTGACTTGCTCAAGGTTACACTTTCTAGCAATACAGAGTAGTTGAGCCTCAGAGAGATAAAAAGTATTTCTTCAGAGTCCTTACAGTCACCATATGCCCTCCATTGCCCATGGCAAAGCTGGCAAGGCAGTGTCCCCACATGCCCTACGAAGGGTCCATACCACGCACACAGCACGCTGTGGGACAGCACAGAAATTCTAGGGGCTACTACCAGGAGCAAGAGGTTGAAGCCAACTCCAGGTCAAACCACTGCACAAGAACTGCTGACATTTTAAAACTTCCTAAAGACAGGTATCATCTGGGTGAAAGTTACTTCTTGTTTGCTACTAGGGCATCCCAGCATCCTTGGAGATCCTGAAAGTGAGAATGGTAATAGGAGAGCCCTGGGAGAGCTGTGCTGAAGAGCAGCCGAGCACATCCTCACAGCCACAGCACCTTGGTCTGTTCTGAGGAGGTAGTGCTGGGACTGCAGCGGTGGGGGGGTGTCTGCACATATACTTGGGGATACTGATCTTATCCCCAAGGTGTTTCTAGGTTAGGCTGAAGGAGGCTATAGTTGAATGGGGGTCTGGAGAAAAAAAGTGAAACTAGAGAATCAAAGAAATCATTGAAAAACTTAAAAGTAACTGAAGAAGAGAGAAGAACCAGCAGTAATAGAATGAGTTATGTTACAGCAGACAGGAAACTGGAACAACGTATCCCCTCTCTTTACAGAAAAGCAAGAGTGTAAGTCACATTGCACAGTTCACCTTTCTAACTAACCATGACTACTTTCATTTGGTACAGGTGAAAATGCTCAGAGAAGAAGTGTTAAACCATCACTGCACACCTCCTAGACCCAAAAATGAATGCAGTATTAAAAAAAAAGACTATCTCCTATTCCTAGCCTTTTCTCTTCTGAGGGACTGTCAAGTATCTTAAGGATTACATAGTGCTTTTTCATCATTCAAATTTTTTTTAAATTTACTGATTTGAGAGAGACAGAGAGGGAGGAGAAAGAAGGAGAAGGAGAAGGAGGGAGGAGGAAGAAGAGAAGGGAGGGAGAGGAGAAGGGAGGAGGAGGAAAAGGAAGAGGAAGAGGAAGAAGGAGAGAGGAGAAACATTGATTTGTTGTTTCACTTACTGCTGCATTCACTGGTTGATTCTTACATGTGCCCTGACTGGGGATTGAATGCTGCAAGCTTGGTGTATCAGGACGATGGTCTAACCAACTGAACTATGGCCAGGACAGTGCTTTCATCATTTAGTAGGCTGTTTATTCATGAGGATAACCAGCTGCTGGGGTGAGACTGGGGATGGGAGTGGCTCATAGCATTGTCTTGGGTGTCAAGCTGGGCACAATAGCCCATGCCATGTTGGAATCCACTCTGAAGCACAAGCTGTGCACATGTGGGACTGCATCCCTGCAGGACCACAGGGTCTTTCCTGTCAGTCTGAAGTTGCTCCTGCCTACCTAGAAACCCTACCTCATCCTCTCTTCCTGGGGCCTGCCATTTGAAATGGGATTGTGTGGTTACTGTTGCTTGTATCCTTGGAAGAATGGCAGCCTCTTGAGAGCAGGCTCTGTGGCTGTTTTCCATGGACTCCTTCACACTCAGATGAGGGTCTGGCACTAAAGAGGTGCTTAACCCTTGGATAAAAGAGGGAAGGTGTGTGGGTCTGTGCTAACAGGGCCACCCAACACCTCTCCCAGTCTCACTTTCCAGTACTGTGCAGTGAGGTCATACACTACCCTAGCATCTCCTACGTAGCAAGTTGTCCCTCAGTGTTTTCATTTGAAAATTTTTCATAAGCCTTTATTTTTCTTTTAAGAAATCTATCACTTCCAACAAATTTTCTTTCACCTAATCTCACTCATTCATTTAATTAATGTAGTATCAGGCTCTTTGCTAGTTAGAAATAGAGTTTAGACATAATTTAAGAAAAATAGAATGTCTTCCAGAAGGTAGTTTATGTCACTTAATATCAGTTTATGTCATCCTCATACACAGTAAAGACAACCTTAAATAAATTAAACATGTATTTTAATGCTGAAATGAATTTCCCTCAAAGGTTTGGTTTACTAGAGCAGACATTACTAAATGTCCCAGAAGACCACTAACAAATTGACAGAAGGCATTGAAACCTTGAGACCCTAACAAGACTACATAACCAATGATTAAAATGTATCATTGGGGCAGTGACTTTGGAAAAGTTTGGCAGCAATCCCAACTTCTGGATTGATCTAGCAATCCTACCCAAGAAAACTGAAAACTTATGGTTCATGCAAAAATTGTACATGACTATTCACAGCAATATTACTCATGATAACCAGAAAGTAGAAACAACCCAAATGTCTATCAACTAATGAATGGATAAATAAACCTGGTACAGTGGAGCATCAGGCAGATGTAAACAGGAATGAAGTACTGACATAGGCCACAATATAGATGAATCCTGAAAACATGATGTTGAGTGAGAGCAGCCAAGCACAAAAGGCCACAGATTGCATGTTTCCATTTACATGAAATGTTTAGTGTACGTAAATCCATGAGGCAGAAAGCAGATTAGTGTTTTTAAGGGCTAACGGGCATAGGGTTTCTTTATGGGGTCATAAAAATGTTCTGGAATTAGATGGTCATGGTTACACAATTTTGTGAATATGAAAACCAATGAATTATATAATTTTTTACAGTGAATTGTAAATTATAAATTTTATGGGATATAGATTACATCTCAATGAAGTTGTTATTAAATAAATATAATTAACTTAAGACAGTGGTGTCCAGCAAGGAGACATCTAGCCCTGATCTGAAATATATCCTCAACTGTAGAGAATCGCTTCGCATGGAGTGGAAGTGTAGCTCCACATGGAAAACCAGTGGGGTGCATCTGGCACGCAGGACCATGCCCATGGAGAGGTTTTCCCGTGGGGAATCAGGCCTGCACTGTACCTAGACTACTATGAGACTTGCTTTTGCTAAAACTCACCCTGAACTGAGGCAGCAAGGGCTTACTGCAACTTCCTAAAATCTAAGCTAAACCTCCCAAGTATGGAGTGTGACCAGTTCAACCACTTGTCCCCTTGGTCTGCAGCATCCTTCTCTTTGAAGTAATTAGCAACATTCTCTCCTCTGCTCTCTATCCCCTGCAGTGAACCTGTACATAGTAAATGAGGACCACCCTCCATGTAATGTACCCAAACAAGGAATAAAAGCCTGTCCAGGCAGGGACTGGCTCTCGCTGGCCCTCTCACCCACTCTCTCTCAGAGTGGCCATGCCATCCCTTTTTCTCCACAGGACTTCTGTTGTCTGTGTGTATTTGTTCTCTAACAGCTACAACATACATGGATCCTGCCCGCCAGGATCCGCCACACTCAGCTCTGCTTAATGATTTTGCTACAAACATTAGCTTTCTTCTCTTTCCTAGCAGCTCTCACCCAAATGCACCTCAGAGCTTCCAGGAAACAAAAAGCTAGGGACTTCTGCAATCAAACAGTAATGGTGTCATCTTTATTGGGAAGCTCACACAGGACCCAATGAGCAGTGGGAGGGCTGGGAGAAAGGTGCAAAGAGAGGCCAGGGAAAAGCTAGACAATCCTCAAAACCTTTATTTTGGAATGCCTGCTCTTCCTTTTCCTCATTCAGGACAGGCAGGATGTGGGGCATTAGGACCATGTTCCCCCTATGTGTGTGCCCTCCATGCCCAGGGTGAGCCTTTCATGCTGCTGCCTGAAATCCCCTCTGTATTCCCATGGGAGTGAGTCTATGGCTCTGTGCAGGCCAAAAGCCCTTCGGAGAGACTGTGTGCTGATGCTCAGCATTATGGAAGCTAAGGAGAACATGGTTTAGAACACTAAGAAAACTACATCACTTTCATCTGAGTTTGCATAGACATCGGTATAAAGATGTGGACAGTTTTCAGAACAAGCTGTTCTGATGGCTAAATTTTGAGAAATGATTTCATATTTAAATCTTCTATTGTGGTGATACAAAATACTGCAAAAACAATAGAATATATACTGTAAAACAGGTTTTCATTAATACTGCTGGGATGATTATATTCACTAAAATGTACCACTTGCTGGGTTCACAACTCAGCACCTGTACGTAAATCCCAAGCAGCCATCTAACCACCTGTGCAGATACATGCTTTTCCCAAGGTCATGTAGACAGAATAGGCATTATATCAGTCATTCTGATCCCAGAAGCCATCTTCTGCTAAGAGTATCCCACAAATAACTTATAGTTGTGGGACATTACTAAACATTTCCCAAGGCTAGTTCACTGAATTTCATGAAAAATCTTTTCAAATTGTAGATAGTTGGAGAAACTGAAAAAAAAGGAAATTAAACACACATCTGAAATAAAGCCTATTGTACCATTCCTTAATGTCTATTCTTTTAGACACTTTAAAGCAGTGTCTAAATTTATATAAATATGTAGGATAAATTTGTACCTCTGGA